AGAGAGAGAGAGAGAGAGAGAGAGAGAGAGAGAGACAGAGAGACAGAGAGACAGAGAGAGAGAGAGAGAGAGACAGACAGAGAGACAGACAGAGAGAGAGAGACAGAGGAGAGAGTGCCCATAGGCCCACGCATCAGGTGTGATTCCATGCAGCTCGCTACACCTGAGTTTCATTCTTCCACCACATGAAAACTAGGCTTCGTGGCTCATGAGTGTAATTTCAGTGGTTGAGAGGCAGAGGTAGGAGGATCAGAAATTTAAGGTTATCCTTATAACCTGGGATATATAAGACCTTACTACAAAAAGAAAAGAAAAAGTCAGCCACCCTTTAAGAACTATTACCCCAGACTAGTGGCCACCTGAATTGCACGTAAGCCACAAACAAGCCAAATGCATGTGTGTCTACCTTCGCTGTGCCATTCTCTTTGTCAGTGATGTTCATTTCAGTTTGTCTTTTGTTTTTGGGACAGTGTCTTCTTATGTCGCTCGGGCCAGCCTGTAACTCACCAACATCCTCCAGGCTCAGCCTCCGTCGTATTGGGACTGCAGGTGTGAGCCACTATACTTGCCGAGGTTAGAGGAAGCCCTGGTGACTCCTTTATGAATGAGTTACAACCCTGATAAGCAACGCAGTCTTCCTTCCGCTGGCACAGCAGAAAGCCTTGCGTACCCACCCGGTTGTAACAAAGGTGCCTGATGACGGAATCTGGACTTGAGTCCCTGATTTGACAGTTCTGGATTTGACCCTTCCTATCTGTGTGGTCAAAAGTGAGTCACTTAGCTTATCTGGGCCTGCTTCTTCACCTTAAAACAGGTGGTTCCTTAATGTCCTTTGATCTTTAGAACTCTGTGACTATATTATTGCTCAGTTTATAGGAACTGCCCAGCTACTTCTCTGACCCTAGGAAGGGAACACTGAAAAGTGACTCAGCAAACATACTCTGATGTCATAGGGCAAGATGTACTTATTTATTGTCTCATGTAGCCCAAGCTGAGCTTGAAATGCCTATGAGAGGTATACCTTGAGATTCTTCTTGCTACATCATTATTTAATGGGGGTGGGGACCGAGGTGGAACATGCCACGATGCTCATGTGAAGGTCAAAGAACAACTTGAGAGAGTCAAGTTCTCTCTTTTTACTACTGTGAGTTCTAGGAATCAAACCCAAGTCATCAGACTTAGAACAAAAGCCTCCACTAAGACAAGGCCTCAGTAGACAAGCCTTCAGCAGACAAGCAAGCCTTCAGTAGAGGAGCCCTCAGTAGAGAAGTGATATAGGAGGGTCTTCTATCTATCTGTTGTTTTCATTGGTTAATTAATAAAGAAAACTGCTTGGCCTGATAGGCCAGCCCTTAGGTGAGAGGAATAGACAGAACAGAATGTTGGGAGAAGAAAGCAGAGTCAGGCAGACGCCATGCTTCTCCTACCCAAGAATGATGGTGGTTAGAATCTTCCCAGTAAGCCACCACTTCGTGGTACTGCACAGCTTATTAGAAATAGGTTAATCAAGATGTGAGAGTTAGCCAGTAAGAGGCTAGAGCAACAGATAGAAGATCCTCCTACATCAGAGAAGCTCTCAGTAGAGGAGCCCTCAGTAGAGGAGCCCTCAATAGAGAAGGCCTCAGTAGACAAGCCCTTGTTAGACAAGCCTTTGCTAGACGAACCTTTTTTTTCTCCTGGAAATTACCTTGAAATTCTGATCTTCCTGTCTCTGTTTCATGGGATTACAGGCATATACTATCAGGGCCATTTTATGTGATGCTGGGATCAAAGCCAGGATTTCCCAAATCTTAGGTCAGTGCTCTCCTGACTGAACAATCTCCCAAGCCCCAAGACACAATCTTCTGTCTGTAAAGACACTTGGTCACTTTCATGGCTAGCCTGAAACTCATTTGTAGACCAGGCTAGTCTTGGAAGTGTGAGGATCCTGTCTTGCCTCCCTAGGGCTGGGATGACAGGCATGAAACACCACATCCAACTTTTTTGCTTGTCTTATTATGGTATACTTTAAAGAACTAAAAGCACCATGACTGTTTCACAATTTGCTCTGCAGCTGATAAGGGTGACTTAGAGCTAAAGGGAATGAGATGCAGTCTCTACGGCCTCCTTGAGTTTATAATACACTGAGAAGACAATGCAGATAGGGCCAGAGAGGTGCTCAGCAGGTCACGGTGCTTGCCACCAAGCCTGGAGGCCTGAGTGTGATATCCAGGATCCACAGGGTGGAAGGAAAAAGTCAACTCACAAGTTGTCCTGCAACCTCTACACATGCACACACGCCAATACATGTACACAAATAACAAGTTAAAGCTCTATTTTACTAATTCTTTGAGAATTTCATATAATGTATTTTGATCATATTTGCCCCAACTCTACCCCCTAACTTCATCCAGGTTCACCTCCCCCCCCATCCAACCCCTAACTGTGTGTCCTTTTTCTTTTTTCCTTATTAATAAGAGAGGGCAGATTAACAAACAGAGGTGTAGAAAGAAGGACAGAGAAAAGGTGGGTATACATGGCTTCATTAGCCTCCCAAAGGGGAAGTGAGAAAGTCTTCCAGGAGGAAATTATTCCACAGGAGGCCTGTAGGGTGCCTTCCATCCTGGCCTACAGATACCTCTAGCTATACCACCCCTTTTCAGCTTTCTCTCCTCACCCCTCTCATTATAAAGCCGACAGAATGAACAATTAAGACAGAATTATTTACCTGTTAGGCACTCGGGAGGCAGGTGGATCTCTGTGAGTTTGAGGCCAGCCTGGGCTACAGAGTGAGTTCCAGGACAGCCAAGGCTACACAGGAAAACCCTGTCTCAAAAAAACAAAAACAAAAACGAGAGAGAGAGATAATTATTTACTTTTCCAAGAATTCAGTTGAAAATAACTTTATATTTTTGACAGGGTTTCACTCTGTAGCCCAGGCTGGGCTGTGATGCACAGAAATCTGCCTGCCTCTGCTTCTGCCTCTTCTCTGCCTCCTGAGTACAGGGATTGTAAGTGTGCACCACTGTGTTTAGATAACTTTCTAATGTTTAAGAATATTGTTGGGTGTGGTGGCATACTCCTTTAATTCCAGCCCAGGAGGCAGAGTTAGGCAGAATGTGATTCTGAGGCCAGCGTGATCTACACAGTGAGTTCCCAGTCAGCCAGAGCTATAGCTATACAGAGAGACCGTGTCTCAAAAATAAAATATCTGTTTTTATTTTATGTGTCTTTGAGTATTTTGCCTGAATGCTATATCTGTGCGTCAGATTCCCTGGGACGCAAGCTATGAATGGTTGTGAGCCACCATGTGGGTGCTTTGAACCAATCCCGGGTCCCCTCCAAGAGCAGCAAGTGTTCTTAACCACTGAGACATCTTCCCAGTTTCAAGAACAACTTTAAAACAATTAGATTTCCTCAGTCTTTTCTCAACTGTTTTGGTTTCTAAACATGCTAATTGCCCAGTCTCTTCAGAAACACATCTGTTTTAACAAGCTGGGCTCTGGTGTTAGCACAGTGACTAAAGGTACATGCTGCCCAGCAGGATGGCCCAAATTCAGTCTCTGGGACCTCTGTGGCGGAAGGAGAGATCTGACCTTCGTGACCTGTCCTCTGACCTCCAGAAGCATCTGAACACGTGGGCACTCGCACATCAAGTCTTTGCCTCTTTTTCTCTTTTTTTCCTTTTCATTTATTTGTATACATATTTTGTTTGTTTGGAGATAAAGCTTCACATAGTCCAGGCTGGCTCTTGTTATTTTATTTATTTATTTATTGGTTTTTCAAGACAGGGTTTCTCTGTAGTTTTGGAGCCTGTCCTGGAACTAGCTCTTGTAGCCCAGGCTGACCTCGAACTCACAGAGATCCGCCTTCCTCTGCCTTCCGAGTGCTAGGATTAAAGGCATGTGCCACCACTGCCTGGCTTCTGGCTCTTGTTATATAGCCAAGGTTAACCTTAAACTTCTGACCCTCTTGCTTCTAGCTCTCAAGTGCTGGGGTTATAGACATGCACCATCACACCAAGCTGTAAATGCTCGCTCTTCACTTATAAAGCTGATTGTAAAAAATGCTCACAAATTCCTCCTGTTTTATACACCTCTTGTATGTGATATGCCTTTTCCTTCCTCAAGGAGAATTTCCCTGACTCTGACTCTGGGCTGATCACATGACCTCTCTGGCTAATGGAGTAGTAAGTAGCAAATGTGATTTAAGCAGAGCCTTTAAAAAAAAAAAAATGCATATACAGTGAGGTTGGCCTTGTGGCTGATCTGGGAACCCTGCCACTACCATGTGATCCCATCTGGGCTGGCCTGCTGGAGGATAACAGATCACACAGAGCACAGTTGAGCTTACCCAGCTCAGGGCGATCAGCCTGGCTGTTACATCCATGAGCAAGGCTGTAAGAGGATGTCTGGTCCCGGTTGAGCAGGCTCACCTGCTAGCAGAGCAAAGCGGCCGACAGATCGGAGAGTCATGCTTCCCATTTCAAGCTACTGTATGCGCGGTGCCTTGTTTCCCAGCAGAGGTGAAGGACCCAGGGCCCAGTCTTACTGTGCTGTTTCCATCTCATCTTTAGTGTAAAGGAGCCGAGGCGATATTTCAGTGAGGATGAAGCTCAGACGGAAAGCAGTGCCAGCCAGCACAGTGAAGGCCAAGTGTTCCATCCCTAGCACATATGTGAAAAACGTGTTGGGTCTCAGCACGTGGGGGCATGTTCATAATCTCAGCACATAATCTCAGCCAGAAAAGACCATGATCACTGTGACTGGGGGCAGCCTGGGCTACTGGAGACATGTCTCATAACAAAACAAACGCTGACAGTGGTGTCACATGCTTTTAGTCCCGGCACATGAGAGGCAGAGACAAGTGAATCTGTGAGTTAAAGACCACCTTGGTCTACATAGTGAGTTCCATCCAGGCCAGCCAGGGCTACAGAATGAGACCTTGTCTCAAACAACACACACACACACACACACACACACACACACACACGCGCGCTACACAACAAAACAATAACAGTTCTAAGATGTTTGATTTATTGAAACCACATTTGCCACAAACATAGACCTTTTATCTTCCTTCAGTTCTAAAATTCTGACTCTCTCATGCTCTCGTTCCTTTCCTTTGCTGCTATCTCCCCAGGAGAAAGAGAAAGCTGAGTACGTGGAGTCAGAATTAGACATGCTGCACAGTGAGAGGGAGCCGCAGGGAGATGGTGATGGCAGGGGACCAGCACTGGACGGGACCAGACACCTCACAGTGCTGACTAAATCCCGCTACACCCAAGTCTCTCTGCATCCTCGGCACTGGTCAGAGGTACCTATGTCCAACTGCTAACCCGCATCCTGAAATCCCCCTGAGGAGTCTCACGCCTGCCATCCCAGCCCTCGGGAGGCTGAGGTAGGGGGATTACCGTGACTTCCAAGACAGCTTGGTCTAACTAGCAAGTAATTGACCAGACTTGGGCTACTTGATGAAGCCCTATCTTGGCACTCCTTCTGCTCCCCGACCCACTTCCCCCACCAACCCTGCCAAAGGAGCTCCTGGTTTTGAACTTATCTAGAGAGCTGAAGACCTGCCTCCACCTGCAAATGGTGTGGCCAGGCAGACCCTGTGCTTGTACTGGGAAATGCTTTATAGGCAACCGCTATAGTGCTTCCAAGGACTAGCCCTCTATCAAATGAAAGTGGCCATGGCTAACAAGATCGCAGGCAGAGTTAATGGACAGTTTCAAATCTATGCTATCTGTGGGGTTCTTCACCGGATGAGTGACTCGGAAGATTCCATTCTGACAAAGCCAGCTCATCTCAGAAACTTCTGACCAGAGTAAACCAAGACTCCTGCTTGCTCTCTGATCTCCAGATGTGTGAATACATTCCCAAACTCACAAGCACACACACCTGTGTGTGCACACATACACAAAATGGGATTTGACACATACACAAAATGGGATTTGGCACTCACTGTTGCCACATCCTTTTTTTTTTTTTTACCCCAGGAGTTTTATATAAAACATATTTTGTTCATTTGTTTTTGCTTTTCAAGACAGGGTTTTTCTCTGTAGCACTGGTTGTCCTGGAACTTGCTCTGTAGACCAGGCTGGCCTCAAACTCAAAGAGATCTGCCTGCTTCTGCCTCCGAAGTGCTGGGATTTTTAATCCCACTGCTCAGCAAATATTCTTGTTTTAAACTTAATTTCATTTAAGAAAAAAAAAAGATTAAAAACAACCAAAACCTTCTCTGGGGGTCTTATCCGGCCCATGAGCCAGATTTAATTATAGCAAGACATGATGGCCCATACCTTTAATCCTAGCAGAGGCAGACAGATCTTTATGGCTCAGTTGAAGGAGATTAGCCTGGTCTACCTAGTGAGTTCCAAGTAAACCAAGCCTATGTAGTCAGACCTTCTCTCAGAATTTAATTAATTAAATAGTAAAAGAAAAATAAAATTGTGAATGTGAAATATTTGTCACAGATAAATGGTGAAAAAAACAAAAGAGCACTAAACAATAGTAATAAATTATATTCGCCTTATATTCCATGACTTAGTTTCTTTCACTCTTCTTCACTATTCAAAGGACAATTTTCTGTTTTCACAGACTCTTTTGGCTATTAGTGACACAAGTCGAACTCAAACTAGCTCAAGCCCCCCCCCCCAAAAAAAAGTATTAGCTTTACTTTTTGAAAGTCAGGCATTGAGCAAGAGTGACTTCAAGTGCTATATATCACAGCCCCACCCCCAGGAACTAACTACACCCCCATCTCCATCTCTGGGTTCTGCTTCCCTCTGGCCTGGCCTGTTTTGTGTGTCCCAGCTTGAGTGGTAGTAATTGCCTATTATGTGGCCCTTCCTCACCTTCAGATGATTATCCCGACCTTGTTAGGAGGACCAAGGGACGCAAGTTAGAATTCCAAATTATCCCAGACCATTTCCTGAGTCCCAGATCGCATCAATCACAGAGACAGGCCATGTCTACCCTATTTGTGTCTTGGGAATTAATTATCTGTCTTCACGGCCATGGCCACTGTGCTTTGTCATGCACTGGTATTTCTCTTCTTGGAAGATTGACTTTGCTCACCTCAAACCCATCTACAGGGCCTAGAGTAATCAAATCTCTTAGGACTGTGAAATCTGAGACCTGTGTTCCCTGCTTAAAACATTTGGGCGCATGCCTTATATAGCCTGCTTTGCAGATACAGGGTATGCGCAGGATTTAATTTGGTGACTTTTTTTTCAATTGGTCACTTGAACCTCCTGCTGAGTAGTAGACGGCCAGGTTATCTTAGAAACTGAGCCTGAACTGGGATAGGCATTAGCCACCGGGTTAGGGGGGGATAGGCATTAGCCGCCGGGTTAGGGGGCCTCACTGTTCTTTGTCACTGGGCTGTGACCAAGCCCTCTTAGATGCACCCTGCATGGCTTGCCCACCCATAATGCAGACTTCTGGGGAAGAGGTTTTGGGGATCTGTGACGCTCCTCCCTAGCAAACCACTTTACTCAGTAGCAATCTCTAGACATGGAATCAGGAATGCGAGTTTGGATCTAGTCACGAAATGTTCTTTTATTCCGAGGGTCAAAAGCTCAGATGCTCCTGGGGCCAGCAGAGAGTTTACTGCTCAACAATTTTTACCAACTAGGGCTTGGCAGGCAGAATTGCCAAAGCCTGCCTGTCCTTCCTTCCTTCCTTCCTTCCTTCCCTCCTTCCTTCCTTCCTTCCTTCCTTCCTTCCCTCCTTCCTTCCTTCCTTCCTTCCTTTCCCTCCAGGAAGAACCAAAGATCTCAAGTTTTATATATAAAGAATTCTCACTTAAATTCAGTTTTACTTAGAAAAAAAAAAGTAAAGGCAGAAAAAAAAACCAAAACCTTGTCTGAGAGCCTTCCCCTGAGCTGTCAGTCTGTGACTCTGGGTTTCACTCACTGACCCGAGAACAATGAATGCCTCTTGCCCTACATTTGCATAACTAAACTCTCAGCGGCAGGGATCTAGGACAGAACAAAGATTAGCTGTGAACGGGCTGAAGAAGGTTCAGGACTTCAAAATAAAATCTGACCTTTAGCTTGGCCCTTGCGGCCTCCCTAGCCCAGCTTCTGCCCTTTTTTCGGTCCTGCCATGACTTTGCCCCGCCTCTAACACCGACTTGTACCTCAAGGCCTTTTTGTTTTTTGCCTCTTTCCCTTTACCTCTTCTGCAGCTCATTAACAACCCCTCAGTCATAACAGTCCTCCAAGATTTGACTCAAACCTCCCTTCCCCTGGACAGCCTTCCTCGACCTCAGTTTACTCTCTGGCTTACCTCATTTACACAAATACCAACCACCAGCTACAGTCCTAACCTAGAAGGCTTGGGTTCGTTTGCCTTGGTATCCCCGTGACTCCATGGAGTACCTCAATCCTTAAATGAACAAAGACTTCTTGGGGTCTTGCCTCTAACATACTAAAATCCAATTGTGAAGAAATGAGTGCTTCAGGAATACGAAGTTAGAGTGGGAATGGCGGCAAAGCTACTCTGGGGGCTGAGGCAGAAGGACTGTGAGTTTCAGACCAGCCAGCACGACAGAAAAAGCTCTGACCGTTTGTTTGTTTAAGTTATGGCATGTGGAGAAGGAACTAGAAATGTTTGGTGATAGAATGCTGACCTGGCAAGCTAGACCCGTGTTCAGGTCTCCACAGACATCCTACCTCATACCTGGCAAAAAGAAATGTAGGTGAACCTGGAGGTGGTGTCGCACACTTTTAATTCCAACACTTGGGAGGTAGACGGAAGAGATCTCTGTGAGTTTGAGGCCAGCCTGGTCTTCAGAGTAAGTTCCAATACAGAGAAACCCTGTCTGGAAAAACATAAATCAAGAAAACGAAACAAAAACAAAAAAGAATTTTAGTTGTCGTTTGGTGTTTAGATCCTAAACTTTGGGAATCCCAGCACGCAGGAGGCAGAGGCAGGCGGCGTTTCTGGACAGCCAGATTTACATAGAACACTAACGGCGCGCGCACGCGCACACACACACACACACACACACACACACACACACGGTTGGGGGAGCGTGCGTGCTTGTAAAACATACAAAAAACAAGATTTTAAATTCATTCACCTGGCTTGTCGATAGACTCACCACCGCGGGCCACGTGATCCAAGGACGGAAGAAAGGCTCTGAGTTTATCGCGCAAGTGAAACTCCGTAAGTATGCCGCGCTTGCGCGCTGTTACGCACTTCGCTAAGTGGCAAGGCTTTATTCAGGGCTTCGTAATCATTATTCATGACTGATCATGACTCCGCACAGGAAAGTGATCTTTCATGATCCCTGCCGATTTAAGAAGTGGACTAAACGATTCATCGCTGCAAAGAGACTCCTCATTGAAGATTTTGTGGATGCGGCAAGAAAGCCCAGCGGAGTATCTATAGCCATTTTTTTTTTTTTTTTTTGCATGTGGGTACAATACCCGAGGCTATTATTGTGTTTTGTCTGGAGAAGAAGCCTGGGGACAGACTTCTTCCACAACTCCACAACTCGGAGACCAAGAAGATCCAAGTGAAACTGCCTTCAGGGTCCAAGAGGGTCATTTCTGTGTTAACAGAGCTGTCATAGGTGTTTGTGACCGCAGGTGCAGAAAGTAAGCCATCTTAAAGGCTTGCTGTGCCTACGACAAGGACAAGTACAACTAAAAAAAAAATACTGGCCATGTATATAGGGTGTGGCCATAAATTCTGTGGCGAATTCCTGTGTAAGTGGTAACCGGCACATTTGCAAACCCTCCACCATCTGAAGAGACACCCCTGATTGGCGCAAAGTGGGTCACACTGAACTAGAACTCAGAAGCTAGTAAGGCATGATTTTTGGTTTAAAAAAAAAATCCTAGCTTAAAATAATAAAATAAAACTATCAGAAAGCTTAAAAAAAATCCTAGCTGGGCAGTGGTGGCATATACCTTTAATCTCAGCACTTTTTTCTTTTTTTAATTCCCTCTGTAAGAACCTCAAAGGATCCCAAGTGTCCCTCAAACGGTGTAGGAATTTCTGGCATTCTAGGTAACAGGTACAACTTCGTGGCTGGGGAATCGAACCAAATGTTTCATACAGTGTACCACCTGGGTCACAGCTTGACTCTGAAATTCTGATCCACCTCAATTCTAGGATCTCTTTCTCTCTACCATTGGTCCAATTTTGATCCTCTTGCCTCCTGCTGAGAATACCGGATTGTACCCCCAAATCTGGCTTCCTCCAGGTTTCTAGAGTCAGTAGGGGTGGGGTTAGACTGGAGTAGTAATTTGCTACTCCAAAACAGCTCTTACCAACCAGCAGAGGCCTGCTAGGGTGAGCAGCCTCAGACGGAAGACCCTTTGCATAACTCATTCTTAAATTGGCTGAGGCTTGTACAATTGTAAACTGAAACTTGGGGCAAACCCTGGCGGTTACATTTTTACACAAAGAAAGCTTCCTGCTCTGCTCTGTAGATTACTTCCTGCATTCTGTCTCTCCCCAGCAAAGGCACACCCGAGTCTTTGGTGAGCCGCTGAACACGCTTCAAGTCACCCTCCTACCTGAAGTGACACCTCAGAAGCAGCAGGGTTGGTGTTTCATTCATAACTGAACCCGGTGGAGGGAGGCGGGGCAGGGGCCTTTCGTCTCTGTTTAATAAAATCCTGGCTATGCAACCGAAAGGGAAAATGATCTGGGAGTGTGCCGCCCAGGGAATGAGCCCTGTACTGCCGCCCTGGGCTAATTATACCGGAGGTTGTGTAAAGGGCCAGAGCCATTCACCCCGCAGGGCCGTGGAGTCTCTTTCTAAGTCTGCACAGTCCTGGGCTTTCTTGGCACAGCGGGTACCCGCGGCTGCTTGCCGGAGCGTAGTGATGCAGGCTTTGTAGCAGCTGGGGCGCGACCGGAAGGAACTGATAAACCCGTGCGAGTGGCACCCTTCCCCGGAGTCGGAAGTGTTCTCGAGCGCCAGTCATTGAGAAATACCGAAAGGGCAGAGTAGGGTGAGGCGAGGACAGCCCTGGGGCCGAGCTCGTGGCCTGCGATCCCACCGTGCAGCGGTAGCCTTGTCCGGGCTGGGAGACCAGGCTGCAGGGGAGGCCTAAATGCCCACTTCGCGAACCACCCCTCCCCCCTATCCCCCGCTGCAGGTTTGAAAATCGGGATCTGCCCAGATACTGGGCCTGCCGATCCAGCTAGCTGCTGCGGCCTCCGGCCTCCACGGAGGGGTGCTCCAGACTTTCCCCGAAGCCCCCAGGGGGAAAGGCAGAGCTGTGAGGTCTTCTCCGCCCCGCCTGAGGAGTTAAGAGGCAAGCAGCCACGCTGGGTTTCTGTGAAGTAGTGAGCAGATCGATAGTACTTTTGAAGTTTTACCTTCTTACTGAGTCAACACTTTTTTAAAAGTCCGTGGGAGTCTCAAGTAGCTCAGGGCGGCCTGGAACTCAATGACCTTGAACCACTAACCCTCCAGCCTCCTGGGACACAAGACTCTGTGCAACCCACGCATGTTTTTGTTTCTGATTTGTTGTTTGATTTTGAGGTAGGATCTCACACTAGTTTGGAACTATGTATCCCAACTGATAGTCATTATCTTGCCTCAGTCTCTCAAGAACTGGGAATACAAGTGATGCTACCGTGCCCTATACTTTCAGATTGGTGATTCTTCTGAATTGAAAATTTTAAAATCAGCACAAGCGAATACTTATTTTCAAATGTCTCCGATTCTTTTTTTTTTTTTTTTTTGAGAAGGAACATGATTTTTTAGTTTGTGGGAGTGGCAGAGAGAATGAGAAAAATAAATAAGACATCTGTAGAACAAGTCAACACAAATACAAATAGTTCCTGAGATGTTACAACAAATTCTAGAAATAGATCGGCCCAATCCGAGTTGTTCATGAGGCACTGTGCTGGTGGGTAAGCAGCCATCTTCCGGAATATGCTGTACGGGATCCCCAGGCCATGCCACACAAAACTCCCCATTCACGTCTAAATCCAAGAGCTAGTCATGCAAAACAAGTATGGATCCCACATCCAATTCAAGAATGTCTTTTAATCATCCTCATCAGAGAGACAGTATTTAGCTTGGTTCTCTTGACATCTCCATGTAAAACTCTTTTGAGTTCAACTTGTATCTTATATACAAGCAAAAAAAAAAACCGATGCCCTTTCCAGATAGTTTGTATTCAGAGTTCTCATAGCCAAGTGCCCTAGTGACAGCAATGTTTCATTCACTGTGTGCAAGCACTGTTGGGGGAGTGGTGTGGAGAGGAGCTGGGTAAATCCTGGGTATTTTTTTTACTTGTCCTGAATGTATCACTTTTTGTTTATTTTTTATTTTTATTTTTGTGTGTGTATAGGTGTTTTGCCTGTCCATAGAGCTATGCACTACTTGGGTGCCTGGTGGCCTTGGAGGCCAGAAGAGGGTATCAGAGGCCGGGTGGTGGTGGCGCACGCCTTTAATCCCAGCACTTGGGAGGCAGAGGCAGGCGGATCTCTGTGAGTTCGAGACCAGCCTGGTCTACAAGAGCTAGTTCCAGGACAGGCTCTAAAGCCACAGAGAAACCCTGTCTTGAAAAACCAAAAGAAAAAAGAGGGTATCAGACCCTTGGAATGGAGGTATAGACAGTTGTGAGGGAACATGTGGGTAGTAGGGAATCAAACCTGGGTCCTCCGGAAGAACAACCACTGCTCGTAACCACTGAGCCATCTCTAGTCATCATGTGAGCCCCCTCTGCTTTCCCCTTTGAAGACGAAGGTCTCACTGGTTATCCCTATTTGGCCTGAAACTTGATATGTAGACCAGTGTGGCCTTGAGATCAGAGATCCATCTGCCCCTATGTCCAGAATGCCAGGATTAATGGTGTCCACCACCACACCCAGAATGTCTCATATTCTTCATGACCTTAAAAAAACAAAACAAAACAGACAAGGTTTGCTTTGTTATCCCCGTGAAAGTTGAAGAATTAATAGAAACCTCACTTTCAGGGTCTCAGAATTTTTGAGAGAAAACCAAAATGGAGGTGTTCATGAGGTCTGGTGTCCTTACCGCTACGTGTCATTGGCATTCAGAATCGAGTATGGAGCCTCAGTCTGTGTCCACAAAGGTCACAGTTGTGAAGAGCAAAGAAAAAAGTCAACCAGTTTATAACTGACTCAAAAGTGAGACTCTTATTTTCAAGACCTTGTGGATCTCTCTCTATGCATATACCTCTAAGAGAATCTGTTTTTGTTTTGTGTAGGGGTTTTGTTTTGGTTGTTGCTGCTGGTCTGTATTATTATTATTATTATTATTACTTCTCCTCTTGAGACAGGATCTCACCATGTAGCCCAGGGGTGGCCTGTAACTCATTATGTAGGCCAGACTGGCCTCAAAATCACAGAGATCCACCTGCCTTTTTGCCTCTAGAATGCTAGAATTACAGACATGACCCACCATGACTGGTTTTTTGCTTTTTGTGGTTTTGTTTAGATCTAGCTTAATAGCTCTGTCTGTCCTAGCATTCCCTGTGTAGACCAGGCATGACTTGAATGTGTATCAATCCTCCTGACTCAGTCTTTTTAGAATGGGATTATCCAGCAGCTTTCTATTTTTGAGACAAATATTTAATCTCCTAGTTTGTTTAGTTAAAATCTCGTTTTGTTAAATCTCTATGGAAATGCCTCTCATGGCATATTCAGAAGGATAGAAATGTTCATTATTAGTATTCGGGAACAGAAATGCTGCAGGACAATGGTCTGTACCCTGCACTTGTATTTTAAATAAACACTGATTGGCCAGTAGCCAGACAGGAAGTATAGGTGGGGCAACCAGGCAGGAAGTAGAGGCAGGGCAATGAGAATTCTGGGAAGAGGGAAAGTCAGTCTGCAGTTGTCACTCAGACAGACACAGAGGAAGCAAGATGGGACTGCCTTGATGACAAAGGTACCAAGTCTGTGGCTAACACAGACAAGAATAATGGGCTAATATAAGTTATAAGAGTTAATAAGAAGCCTGAGCTACTAGGCCAACCAGTTTATAATTAATATAGACCTCTGTGTTTTCTTTGGGACTGAACGACTACAGGACCGGCTGGAACAGAAACCTCAGTCAACACAGAAAGGAATAGGGACTATGTCTCTTGTTCCCTGGCAGGACTTCAGGAGATGCCCAATGATTCTGAAATTGGTAGGATTCCATGCAAAGTGAAAATATGGTATCCCTTTCAGAAACCGTAAAGGATTTCATTACCACACATTCAGATCCGACGCAAATGCACAAGCCAAGGTCCCGGGA